CTGCCCCTTCACCCCTCCACTGCCCCCCTCCGCCTGCCCCTTCACCCTTCCACTGCCCCCTCCGCCTGCACATCTTTTTCTAAGCTTCCCAGGTCCTAATTAGCCCCTTCTAGAATTCACCAAGTCCTAGGAAGACTGCTCCCTGTCTGGACCCCTTAGCTTCTTTCAAAGTCCCGTGACATGGATGCTTTCACTGTCATCTTGAAGCATAGTTTCTCTAGGAGTTCCTGAGCTCGATATGATTGTGGCGCATCGGGAGGTAGCCTGTCCTCGGTAGCCCCAGCTGTTTCTCGTCCTCCAAACTGGGATGGGCTATGCTGGAACGGGGGGCACTCACAGCCCTGGGCCCTTTGGAGGAACTTCTCCTAGCCCTTTAACTCCCCGGGGAGGAGACCGTATTCACGGCGAGACTGTGTCCTCGGGTGTTTGATACAAGCCCAGGCTTATTTCTTAACAGAAAGCCAGTTGTGCACATTGTGAGGGGAGAGCTGTGAAGTGTGCCCTTGTGCTTCTCAGTGACTTTTTAAAAACAAATGCTTTTAGTCATTCCCATTTTATACAACCGACAGTTTTCACCAGCAACTCGGATCCCATAGACCAGGGGTCAGCAAACATTTTCCAAAGGGCCAGACAGTATTTGTGGCTTTTCAGGACACATAGCCTCTGTTGTAACTCCCAGGCTCCGCAGAGAGCAGCATATGCCGTACCCTACGTTCAGCAACCAGGCAGACATGTTACGATAAAACTTTATTGACAAACACAGAAGGTGGGCCGGATTCAGCCTGGGGGTTGAGGGATCACAGAACCCCTGCAGTGGCCCAAGGTGGGGGGCAGGGCAGGGCTGACCTGGGGTGGGGGCACAGGGCTGGGCACTGTACTTGGGGACAGCCTGGTGGGGAGAACCCGGAAGAGGGGGCTTCTCATCCTGCCTTTGGTCGAGGGAACGAGGTTGGCCAGGCAGGGGTGGGTGGGGAGGTCACCACACTTCCCTCCCTCGAGCGCTGGTGGCAGTGCCCACGTGCCCTGCAAACATGGCCTCACTGAGCACACCCCGCAGCCCATTCGGCTGTCGGCACCTCGCTCCAGGCGACAAACCAAAGCGCTGGGCAGGGGCAGTGGGGGCCCTGGTTCCTCTCCACGCCGCCAGCGGATGTGGATCAGTGGGGAGAAGCTCCTGGAGTGGCTGGGCCCCATTACACATTCACAGAGGGCCTGGCCTTCCGAGCTGGTCTGTGCCCCAGGCCTGCTGTTGGGGCCACGGCCCCTCGGGACCCCAGCTGAGTCGGAGCGCCGCCACCTGCACCTTGGGAAGGCCAGATGGGGGTGGGGATCTGTCCCCGCACAGACAGGCTACTGCCTGTTGTCACCGAGGGGTGCAGTCTCTGTCTCAGCCTCCAGGTGGTACAGAGGGATGGCCCCAGGAGCCGGAGTGTGCAGAGTTGGGGTCCAGTTGGACCTCTCCAGCTCCAAGAAGCCAAGGGGCTGGGGTGGGCCCAGGCCCCTGTGGGCGTGGCGTGGCCGGGCTCCCTGCTCAAGGCTCTCTCTGGGACCCGTCCTCCCTCCCAGGTCCCACAGCCCCAGGGAGCAGCCCAGACCAGGGCCAGACAGCGTGAGACCCGCTGGGGCTGAGGTCCTCGCGGGGGCTCCGTAGCCGAGCCCGGCCTATAGGAGGAAGCAGCCCCGGCAGGGACGCAGCGGTCCAGGCGGGAGGGGACGAGCAGGCAGTGGGGACCCTCGTGTGCGATACTGGATTCCCATGTAGGTAAAGCCGCTCCCAGGTCCTGACCACCCGCTGCCCTCAGCGGAGGGGCTGGAGTTCCAAGGACTCGGGGGCCTGCGCCTCTACCTCACTCTGGATTCACACTCGGAGCAAAGGCCCCGGTGGCCCGTGTGCCCAGCCCGCCCTGTCCTCCGCAGTCAGCCGGCCCTCGACCTTGCTCCGTGTCAGAGCGGGCGGGGTCCACGTGGACTCTGTGGGACCCTCCACAAGCAGCCTGCTGCCTGGCGGGCCTGCGCAGGAGGAACTTGAGGCCTTGTCGTCCTCCTGGGAGTAGTGGGCCAGGAAGCCGGGCACTTCTGCTGCCCGTGCCCATCGGGAGCGCTGCTGTACTTGCTCGGGACGTGCTGGGGAGGAGGTTCTGTCAGCTGCCTGGGCCCTGCTGGGGTCGTGGGGACGCCACCTGTCATGAAGGGCCCTCTGCCCAGAGCAGCCCTGCCTCTCGCACCGTCCACTTGCCACGCGTTTGGGCAGGGAAGGTCAAGGTTCTGACCCAGGGGTTCCCACCGGCCTGTGGCCCAGCAGGTGCTGGTCACGTGACCCGGGCTCCGCCGCCCCATTTCTGCCCTGAGCCTGCTGGCCTCGCTGGGTGGGGGCCTGTCGGGGAGCCTGGAACCTGCTGGGCCACCGCTGACTCCCCATCCCCTTCTTGCCTTATGGCAGTGGCGTGGGGCTCTCGTTCTCCCTGTAGTCCCAGGAGGACTCCCCCATTCCTGCCACTGGAGCCACAGGGAGGGGACCTGACACAGCCAATGTCAGTGCCCAGGTCTCCCTTGAGGAGGCTCGGCCCTGCCCTCCTCATCGTGTCCCCCCCTAAGATGTGACAGTCGTATCCCATCTGTGCTGTCGGAGCGAGGGACCACCCAAGCCAGGTCGTGCCGTGGGCCGGCCCTGTGTCGGCTCTCTGACTGCTGCCCCCTGTCCAGGTGGCCTGTGAGTACGGCATGGTGCACGTGGTGTCCGAGACCGGGGGCCCCAAAGGCAAAGACTACTGCATCCTCTACAACCCGCAGTGGGCCCACCTGCCGCTCGACCTCAGCAAAGCAGTGAGTACCGGCCAGCGCGGGAGCCCCCTCCCAACGCAGGGTCTTGTCTGTCTTGCTTGCTGCCCTCCCCCCACTCCTCCCCTGGGTCTCCCGAGGGCCTCTGGAGGACGGGTCTTGCAGAGAGCCGTTGAGGATGGAGGAAGGGCCTGTGCCCGGCCCCGTCTTTGGGGTAGCCCGGATGCTCTGCTCCCTGCTCTGGTCTCACTCGTCCCAGAGGGACTCAGGGTGCCCAGTTCCTGGCTTGGCGGGTGGAACGAAGGCCAGCACTCCCGCCCGCACCTTGTGCTGTTTGTGACGGGCTCGAGAGAGGCGGGGAGGGTTCCTGAGCACACGCCGCCCTGTACCCCTCTCGTCTGCCTTGTGCTCGGGGTGGGTGTGCACACACGCTTGTGCACGTGCGTGTGTGTGCGCACGCGTGTGTGGGGCTGAGACCATGTGGGCTTGAGGTGAGGCTGCGTAGGGGCGGTGGTCGCCGCAGTGGCCTCCGCTGACCTGTCTCCCCGAGGATGCTGCGCGCCCTGGCTCCCCTGGAGCGTCTCACGTGAAGGCCGCCCTCCTGCAGTCTCTTCTGCAGGTGCGGGACTGGACGACCTCCGTGCTCTGCTCTCCGGCCGACCTCCCTGCCAAAGGCTTCAGTAACCAGATCCCCCTGGTGGCGCGGGGGAACTGCACCTTCTACGAGAAAGTGCGGCTGGCCCAGGGCAGCGGGGCGCGTGGGCTGCTCATCATCAGCAAGGAGACGCTGGTGCGGCCGCCGGGCCCCTCCTGGGCAGCCGGGGGCCCTGGGGGGCGGGAGTTTCCTACTTGTGGCCTCGGAGGGGCCCTGTCCCAGGACGGTACTGGACAAGGCCTGGGGCGGAGCTCTGGGCCGCTGCCTGAGGAGCAGGTGGTGTGGGCCACGTGCCACCCTCTCCCTCAGGCCCTTCAGGGCAGACCAGCGTCACCCAAGCCCAGGGTTGAGAGGGAAGGGGAGCTTGCCCTCCCCCAGAGGGAGGGGCCGAGCCTGCAGGCCTGCCCTCAAGGCAGTGTGACCCTCCCACCTGACACACACACACACACACACACACACACACACACACACACACACACACGCAGGACTCCTCCATCCCCTCCCCTCCCCCTCGGGGAGAGCTGCCCCGCCCTGGGTGGGCCTTGCTAAGCCATCCAGCCGCCCTCTCCCCCTCTCCCCCAGGTCCCCCCAGGAGGCAACAAGACGCAGTACGACGAGATCGGCATTCCCGTGGCCCTGCTCAGCTACAAAGACATGCTGGACATTTTCGAGGTAGGCTCGTCCCCCGCCCTGTCTGCAGCTGGGCCCAGTGCCTGAGGAGACGGTGTGCCCGCAGTGCTGTGAACGTCAGGAATGGAGACCCCAGCCCTCCCCCATGCCAGAGACCCTGCGTGTCGCCCCCTGCTCAGGCCTGCCCGGCCCCTCACCCGGCCCGGCCCTGTCTGGCCAGAGGCTGGTGCGTCTTTGATTTGGGGAGCCGGGTCCCGAGCAGGCGAGCTGCAGCACACAGTGACATGGGGATAGCCAGGTTCCCCACTGCAGGCTTCGCGTCCCCCAAGGGACCCACCGGCCGTCTCCGGGCCGCTTCCCAGGCCACGCCCACCCTCGTTCACTCATGCTTGTCTGGGGGCGGGGTCTGTGTTCCCACACACGCGCGGTCCTGTCACCCACCTTGTGTGAAGCTCATCCCGGCAGAGCCCGCTTCTCTGGGGTCAGGAGTACCGCGTGAGGGCGTGGGGTGAGGCGGGATCTCCCGGCCCCCGGCTCCTCGAGTGGGCCAGCCTCGGCCCTCTGGGTGGCGAGGGGACGGGTGGGCCCCCCGACCTTAGCTCTCTTGTGTTCCCTGAGGCAGACTTTCGGCCGGGTGGTACGGGCAGCACTGTACGCCCCCAAGGAGCCCATGCTGGACTACAACATGGTCATCATCTTCATCATGGCTGTGGGCACCGTTGCCCTCGGGGGCTACTGGGCCGGGAGCCGGGACGTGAGGAAGTGAGTGGCCCGCGCGTGTGCGTGCGTCCCGGATGGGCGGCCGTAATGCTGGGCAAGTAACCACGAGAGTCCGCATGCCCAGAGAGCCTTCTGGAAAACAGCTGCTACAAACACCCAGGAGACCCGTTGAAAGCCCCGAGGGCCCCGCTCCCCACGATTCTGTCCTGCCCTCAGGGTTCCCGGCCCGGGCCCAGCCTGGCGGGGGCATCCACGGGAGACCTCGCCCCGGCCGTCCAGGGAAGGGCGGTGGTGGGGTTGGTACAGGGCCAGGGTCCAGGGTGGCCCCCATGCGGCCACCACAGCTGGGCCCTGGGGACCGGAGCCCCACCTCCGGCAGGACTGGCTCCGTCGGGGGGGACCCCAGGTACACATGGTGGGTGGGGACGGGGGACTGGCCGACGGGGCAGGTGATGGTGGTCACCTCCGGGCAAGCTGTCCCTCAGCCTGTCCAGACCCCTTGTGTCAGGCTGCCCCTGCCTGTCCTTCCCCATGTCTGTGGCCCTCGGCCCCCGGGAGCGGTGCTGGCCGGTAGGGCGTCCCCCAGCCCGTTCTTGTCTTTCAAGGAGGTACATGAAACACAAGCGGGACGACGGGCCCGAGAAGCACGAGGACGAGGCTGTGGACGTGACGCCCGTCATGATCTGCGTGTTTGTGGTCATGTGCTGCTCCATGCTGGTGCTGCTCTACCACTTCTACGACCAGCTCGGTGGGTGCCCGGCCCCGGCTCTCAGGGCGGCGGGGGAGGGGGGAGTCCAGGGGCCTCGCCAGGAGGGGCCTGGGGCTACCCCTTCCTTCCCTTGGGGCGGTCACCCTGCCAGGGAGTGCGGCACAGAGCCGTCCTTCAGGCTCCCCTCACCGCCCGCCCCGCCCCGCAGTCTACGTCATCATCGGCATCTTCTGCCTGGCCTCCTCCACGGGCCTCTACAGCTGCCTGTCACCGCTCCTCCAGAGGCTGCCGTTCTGCAGATGCAGGTGAGCCCCCGGGCGACCCCCACCTGGCCCTGCTCGCGGGGGTCCCCCTCTGCTGCCTTGTGGCCCGTCCGCTCCCACCTCCCGTTACCCGGCCCCCGGAGGCTCCACAGCTTTGCTGAGGCCGAGGACCCTTGCCCTCCGGAGCCCTCGGTCAGTCTGGCACGGTGCAGGCATTACAGCAGGTGCCCACTCCGTGCTGGCTGGGGGCTCACGGGCCCCACCTCCAGCCCCTGGGTGGGCCTCCCGTTCTGGCTCAGGGCCTGTGGGATCCCTCGGGGGACGTCGGCTGGGGGCAGCAGGCGGGCGGCGCTGCTGATCCAGGCTCCGAAGGTTCTCTGCGGTCAGGGGTCTGGTCTGCTTGTTGTGGAGCAGGTGGGAAACGGAAGGGTTTAGACGAGGTCCAACGGGGTCAGGAAGCTTGGCTCAGGGGGCTTGGGGGAGGGCCTGGAGCAGGGAGGGCTGTGCGAGAGGGGTCACAGCACCCGACGAGGGCTCCTGCGGGTGGGGTCGGCTTAGCGACTGGCTGAGGTCCGGCCGCTTCCCCCAAGGCCCTGCCCCTGCCCACTCTGCCCTGCCCTGCCCTGCCCTTGGGAGCCTCCCTTCTAGAAATAAAAGGTGAGGGATGGTGAGTTTAACAGATAAGGTAAAGTAGAGGAAGGGACAGGGCCAGGGGTGGCCCTTGGGAGCAGAGCCCGGCGGACAGAAGGAGGACAGATGGGGAGGCCACGGGCTTTTGGGCAGGAGTTGAGCTGACCCTCCGGGTGCTGGGCAGAGGCAGGGCTGTGAGGGTCAGAGGCCGCTGATCTCTCCACCTGCCTGCCTGCCCTCAGGGTCCCTGACAACAGCCTGCCCTACTTCCACAAGCGCCCTCAGGTCCGCATGCTGCTCCTGGCGCTGCTGTGCGTGGCCGTCAGTGTGGTGTGGGGCGTCTTCCGGAACGAGGACCAGTGAGTGCAGTCCTGGAGGCCCTGCTGGGGGTGGGTGCAGCTGTCCTCGGGTGCTCTGACCTCCCTGCGACTCCCCGAGCCCTCCGCTCGGGGCGCCTGGAGCTGGGCCAGCTCCCGGTTATGAAAGGCTCTCCTGTCAGTGCTCTGGACGCAGTGGCCGCACGCTGTCCAGGCCTGGCCCTGTCTGCCCTGTGGCTTGTCCGGTGCCCCGGGATCTGCGATCGCAATCTGGGCGTGAGATGCCGCCGGCACTGCTGCCCGGGCGCCGAGCCGTGTGCTCCGGGGCAGCCTGGACGTGGCCTGGCGCCGCTCGGCCGCTGCTCCGTTGTGGTGCCCGCCCGCCTGCTCAGCTAGCTCTGCTTCTCCCAACACCCGCCCCCCCGGGGGGCCTCCCCCGCGAGGCAGCGCGCCACCGCCTGCCGTCACTGACACCATCTGGCGCTCTCTCTGAGCTTCTCCCGGGGCAGTTAAACGCTCTTGGCTGTGCTGCTGTTTGGAGCTATAACAGATTTAACTGGCAGAAGGAAAGCATGAAAATATTTTGAGTCCTTTGTACACAAAGAGAATAGGGACGCTCACGGTTAAATCCAAGCCAGGAGGCTTGCTCCTTCGCATAAAAGTAGAACAGGCCATGGCTTCCGCCATGTCTGGGCGCCCATGTGGCCTTGGTGAACCTTCTCTGTTCTCACCAGCGCCCTGGCCCAGAGAGGTTCTCATCGTGCGCTCAGATGAAGCTCTGATGAGTAACTTGAGGGGCAGGGAGGACGGGGCCGGCTGTGGGGCCATTTCCCAGCGGGGAGCCTCATCACACGCGGGCTTCATCACACAACTTTGACTTCCCAATTCGGAAGTGGCCCCGCAAGGGTGGCGCCCTGCTTCCCAGGACTCCAGATGATGTCCTCAGGGCCCCAAGTCCCTATTTCCTCAGAGAGTGTGGGGCATTTGGCTGGGTGGGTACAAGTTTTGCTTTTCTAGATTTTTTTTTTTTTTCGTGGTACGCGGGCCTCTCACTGTTGTGGCCTCTCCAGTTGCGGAGCACAGGCTCTGGACGTGCAGGCTCAGCGTCCATGGCTCACGGGCCTAGCCGCTCTGCGGCATGTGGGATCTTCCAGGACCGGGGCACGAACCCGCGTCCCCTGCATCAGCAGGCGGACTCTCAACCACTGCGCCACCAGGGAAGCCCTGCTTTTCTAAATTTTTTAAAAGATATTTTTGAGGGACTTCCCTGGCGGTCCAGTGGTTAGGACTCCACGCTGTCACTGCCGAGGGCCCAGGTTCCATCTCTAGTAGGGGAGCTCGGATCCCACAAGCCCCGCGGCACAGCCAAGGAAAAAAAAAATTTTTTTTTTTTTAAAGAAATTTGAATCCGCTGGATACATGGTCCCCCCTCACCCTGCACCCCCTGCCCCGGGCTGTGATCTGGGTGGGAGAGCCGCTGCTGCAGAGGGACAGAGGCCCTGGCACGCGCCTGCATTTCTCTGGCCGTGGCGTCAGGGTTGGGGGGTCGGTTCACCCCCTGCTCCTACCAGCCATTGCTGCCCCTCCTGTCCCCCCACGGGCCTCAGGACGTCGGCCGCTGCCTTTGTCTGCATAAGGGCCTCCGCGGCTGTCTGGGCTCATCTGGGCGGCTTGGACTTGGCGCTGAGGCTTCCAGGGCGGGGGAGGGGCCTGGCAGGCGGAGGTTCTTGGTGGAGGCCCCGCCCAAGGGTGGCTGCGCTGCCTTCCAGGTGGGCTTGGATCCTTCAGGACGCGCTGGGCATTGCCTTCTGCCTCTACACCTTGAAAACCATCCGCCTCCCCACGTTCAAGGTGAGGGCCCCTCGGGGTGGTGGGGGTGCTCTGCGGACGAGGGGACGGGGTCTCTTCGTGCAGCCCTGCCCAGGGCCTTCCACTCTTGAGCCTGGCCCTGTGTGGGCCGTGTGGTCTTGGCTTATACGTCCCTCTGGCCACCCTCCTGGGGATGGGGCTTAAGGATCAGTGCAGAGTTGTCTCACGGCGTGGCGGCAGCGTCTGTGACCGCTGGCCGAGGGAACACCCGGGCGGGCGCGCGGAGCAGGGCCGCCTCCTTGCTGGTGAGGTGAACAGAGGAGGGAAAACCAGGTGAAACCAAGGGGGCAGAAGCACAGGGCTCGGGCCGGGACCCTGGGCCAAGGCCCAACCCCAGCAGGAGGAACCTAGAAACACACAGGCAAACGTGAAGCCGGGCGTCACCTGCCCAGACCCGTAGCTGGCTGGTTGCGGCTGTGTCTCTCTCAAGCGTCCCATCAGAAAGTCGCCCTCCCTGAGCCTCGGGCCTGACATTGCCTCCAGGGCACCGAAGGTCAGGCTGCCCGTGCTCAGACTTTGTCCTAAAGGCTTCGTCCCCACAGGGAAACTCTGAGCCTTGGGAGAGGCAGGGACACGTCCCGGAGTGTCTGTGCGTCTGGGACCCTGGGCAGGGTGGGGTGGAGGGCAGGGCCGGTGGAGGTCCCCGAGCACAGCCCTCAGGACGCCCCGTTCCCAGGCCTGCACGCTGCTGCTGCTGGTGCTGTTCATCTACGACGTGTTCTTCGTGTTCATCACGCCCTTCCTGACCAAGGTGGGCTCTGGGCCCCGCCCCCCCCCCCCCCCCCCGCCCTGGCCCCCGCGTTCCCCCGTCTGACGCAGTCCCCCTTCTCTTAGAGTGGGAACAGCATCATGGTGGAGGTGGCAACCGGGCCGTCAGACTCGGCCACCCACGAGAAGGTATGTGGTGCCCGCGGCCGAGGTGCTGAGCAAGCGGAGTGAGCGCGGGCTGGCGGGTCCTGGACACGCTGCCCCCTCTCCCCAGCTCCCCATGGTGCTGAAGGTGCCCAGACTCAACGCCTCGCCGCTGGCCCTGTGTGACCGGCCCTTCTCCCTCCTGGGCTTCGGGGACATCCTGGTCCCAGGTACTGGGGCCGGGCTTTGGCGGCCCGGGTGCCCTTGGGGGTGTCAGGCCACAGGGGCTGGTGGGCAGAGGCAGAGCTGAGCCAGTGGGGCCTGGGGGCCAGGGAGGTGGTCCCCCGGAAGCGTTGTCCCAGCCGTACTGCCCCCAGGGTCCCCCTCCGGGCCCCTCCCCCCACCAGGCAGCCTCTGAGCTGGGGTTTGCGCTCGCTGGAGGTCTGGTTACCTGCCAGGAGTCGAGGGTGGCGCCGGGCCAGCTCCCTCCTGAGCTGGGAGGAACGCACGGTGCCTCCGGGGGAACCCCCGGTGCCTGGCCGGGGCTGCGGCCCGGCCTCTGCCCATGGCCTCTCTCCCACAGGGCTGCTCGTGGCCTACTGCCACCGCTTCGACATCCAGGTGCAGTCCTCCAGGGTCTACTTCGTGGCCTGCACCATCGGTAAGCCCGCTGCCCCGGGGGCTCAGCCGTGCCCCGTCCTCTGCCGCGGGGTGGTAGGGGACAGGCCTGTGCCCGCGTCACAGGCCTCCTTGTCACTTTCCATGGTGGTCGTTGTTTCTCTTTTCTTTGGTCTTCTTTGTCTTTCTCTTTTTTCCTTTGTCTTCTATTTCCTTTGTTACTAAAGCCATTTACACCAAAGGGATGTTTTCTCATTTTCTGTTGAGTCCAATCATTTCTAAAAATGTCCAAACCAGTTCTCTTGTCCTGCTGGGTCAGCTCTTCAGGACGAGCAGGGGTGCAGAGCGCACAGGCCCCACCAGCCGACACGGGTGAGGGGAGGCCCCGCCATGGCCCCCAGCAGTGCCAGGCGGACGCAGGCTGGCCTTCCCGGCGTACTTTGGGCCGTTGGCGTCTGGGTTCCTGAAGGCCCAGACACGTGCTCCCCGCCCCTGCCGCCTGGGTTCACACTCCATGATTAGCTCGTCCAGATGCGCCTGCAGAGCTTTTCTCCGTGTGAACCACAGTTTGTCAAATTGTTCTGTAGTTCCCGTCACTGAAATCCTGTAGTTGGCTCGGTTGAATCACTTCTTTAGGACAGGTGGCTAGTCCACAGCCGATAAGCGGGAACTCTCCCTGCACAAGCCTATCGCTTGGAAACATGGAGGTAAGGGGCAGGGCAGGCAGCCCGAGCAGACGCAGGTGCTGGAGACGGGGCTCTTTGCCTCGGAGGGGATGTGCCAGTAAATGGTGTCTTTCTTTGTAACTCTTCACCTGGGAGTAATTGCACGTGTACGGTTGCAAGGTTAGTACAGTGAGCCCCACGCCGCTGCACTCAGGCCGACCCCTCTAACTCCTCGTGTGTGCTGTGTTGTATGTCCGTCCCTGTGCTCTACGTGCGCGGGGGTCTTCATACGTTGGACTCACATCCCTAAATAACACACGCTGTTTTATGCTGAACGGGGAGCAGGAAATGCGGACGCTTCTCACCCCTCAGTGCTTTCATGCGGTCACAACTCAGTTATGAAAGGTCTGATTTCCTAATTCTGTACCTACGTTACTTCAGTTCAAATTATTTTTCTAACTAGAGGCTTACAAAAATGAGCTATTGGGGCACCTCTGCGGCTCCTCCAGCCGCTCCCGGGACGCCAGGCCTTCCCATGGCGGCCGCCCGCTTCCTCTCCCCAGTCTGGCGGCTGGGCCCTCGTTCCCTCCTCTTTCCCTGCTGACCCCTGTGTGCACTCTCGCCTGCCAGCGTCCGGGAAGGTGTGGGTGGGGAGGACCCGCTGGCCACGGCCCTGGCGCGAGCTCTGCCTCTCCTGCCCCTGTGAGCAGTGGGTGGTGAGCTTGGGACCGGCCAGGGTAACGTGCTGCCTGTCTCTGCTTCCGCAGCCTACGGCATCGGTCTCCTGGTGACGTTCATGGCGCTGGCCCTCATGCAGCGCGGCCAGCCTGCCCTCCTCTACCTGGTGCCCTGCACGCTCGTCACCAGCTGCGCCCTGGCGCTCTGGCGCAGGGAGCTGGGCATGTTCTGGACGGGCAGCGGCTTTGCGGTGAATACCAGTTTGCTATGAATGTCTGCGACAAATAATAGCCTAATAAGCCCTAACTAGAGTTAAAGTTGAGTAAGACCTCCTAGCGCTACAACTAAACCCCGCAGCCCGTGTCCGGTCTCTGGAAGGTTTTGCTTTGGGTGTGGTGCTCCCGTGGCTGCAGGGCGGGGAGGGGTACATGTGCTCGTGGTGTGGCTCGGGGTGATGCTGCTGCCCTGCTGCTAACCCTAACCCTAACCCATTTGGTTGGATTGGTTGGACTTGGGGTTCCAGCTGCTTCTGCCACGGGCAGGGGGTGGGCCGGGCCTTGTTCTTGTCTGAAACTGAAGAGGAAAGGGACAGAGGCCACTCCCCGTGCAGCGCAGGGTGACTGCTGTATCCCTGCAACTCAAGGGCATTCCGGGCCTGCGGGGTCTCTAGCGGGCCCTGTTAGGAGACCCGTCCTGCCCTGATGGGGGCTCTGAGCGCTTCCGGTGTGTGTGTAACTTGTTCGCATAGATGTGAACACGCTTTACATGTGGTGTGACTGTTGTGACCCGGTGAGTCGGGAAGGCTTCCTGGGCTCAGTGCCCCCGTCCCCAAAGGTCTCCCTCCCGGCGGGCGTTGGCTTTGCTACAGAGCGGGTGGATTGGTTCTGGAAGGTTCTGGAGGGAGAGCAGGCCAGAGAAGGCAGGGTGGGGCCCTCCTGGGGCCCTGATGCGGTGCTGGTGCCAGTTGGCGAGCGCGGCTCCTTCCTGGGTCCGGAGCGCCCCCGCGGCTCCACCAACCCGGGCCTCCTCCCTCCCTCAGAAGGACCTACCTCAGTCGCCGTGGGCGCCAGCCTCTGCCGACGGCCCGCAGCCCCAGGCGGACTCCGACGCCGCCCCCTCCCAGCAGCCTCCCGGCCCAGAAGCGGCCCCGTCCCCTCCGCCCGCGGAGCAGCCCCCAGAGTCGTCGGCTCCCGAAGAGAGCGGGGCCGGCGCGCCCCCCCAGGAGCCCGAGAGTCCGGCAGGCCTCGGCCCCGGCCCCTCGGCCTAGGGGAGGGCGCAGACTCGGCCCCCGCGCCCCGGGACTGGACCCGCGCGGCCCCCAACTTGGTGCTCTGGCCTGGCCGATGCACACGTCCTGCTCCAGCCCGGCCACACCCCGGACCCCAGCCCTGCTCCGAGCTCGCGTGGCTGCCAAGCCCCCGGCCGGCTGAGGCCAACCCCGCGCGCGCGCCCCGCTTCCTGCGGCGGTGGTGCCCCGGGAAGGGCGGGGCCGTCACCTTCGCCGTTGGCCGCGGACACGCCCAGTTTGGTGCTTGCCCTGCTGCTGCTTCCCTTCGGGTCCGGGCCGGGAGAGGGCGGGTCTCTGGCTCCTGGTGGAGGGGCGCCTTTGCCCAGCAGGGCCCCCAGGGGTTTGGACTGGACGTCGCCGCAGCCTTGGGGGCCCGCGGTGAGCGCCGAGCCCTGCGCCCGGCCCGTCCATCGCCCGGAAGCGCCCAGCGCCTGTGGTCCAGCTCCTCCAAGTTTGAATAAACGGCCACGACTTTTTGAAATTCTGATAGTGTCGCCTCGTGGGGTGCGAGCCCTTCGGACTGCCTCTCTCGGGGGCGGGGCTGGTGCCAGGCCGGTGGCCCCATCTTGCCTTTCAGCTCAAGGGAACTCGGCTCCCACCCTCGCCACAGGCACCCGCACGCTCTCAGCACCCTATCCAGTGCACGCACCTCGGCCTCCAACTCCAGCACGGGGGACGGGGAGCTTCTGGAATGCGGGAGGATATTCTGGAACTGGCGTTATGTCTTCTACCTCACGGACAGGGTTCTCTGAACCTCACGACGGAGATGCCGCCGGCCCCCGTGTCACCGCCTGGCGACAGAGCCGGCGCCCGGACAGGCACCCGGGGCTGCTGATCGCCAGGGCCCCGGCCCGCTCCCCCCCCCACCCCCCCCAACACCCCGTCCGCGCCGCTGCGCTGCACACAGCAGGCGGGGGCGACCACGGTCCATTCCACACAATACCAGCGCCAGCCAGACTCACAGCCTCTCAGCCACGCCTCTCGAGGAAGAAACGATGTTTATTCCTAAAAAAAAACAGAAGGCGTCTCCCACCTGCTTCTGTGTGTTTCTCAAAAGAACAGGTGATCCGGTGGGAGGGCGGGGCTGGAGCAGCTGGACCTGCCCAGCCCCACGGGAGCCCCTGGCCTTAGAGGCCGGGACCAGGACGCAGCCACGGGGCAGCCTTGGGGGAAGGCCCGAGCGGACCTCCGCCCTCCCTCTAGGGACTGCGCCTTCCTCTAAGCCATTTTGTACGTCGGTAAAGAGCGCGGAATCTCTTTTTTCTGTTTTGTTGGTTTGACAAACGTCAAAGAAATCAAAGGAGGATGTTAGTTCCTGAAGTTTCAGTTTGCAGTTTTTGCCTTGCTTCTGTTTGAATCTTATAATTAAACACAGCTTTTGATACTTATGGCTGGGTCTTTGCCTTTTCTGTGCTGCAGTGAGCCGGGGCTGGGGGGCGGGGCTCGGGGGCGTTGTGGGGAAGCCCTCGGTGGGCCGGCCGGGCTGGGCCCCGGTGGCCTTCAGCCTGCGGAATTCCCGTGTGGATGGAGGTGTCCGGAGCACACCCACAGCCTGTGGCCGCTGGTGCCGCCCAAGTGGGGTTTCAGCTTTGCCGCCTGTGGCTACTTGTCCTTACTCGCGTGGGGTCCTCGTGAGGGGAGGGGAGGGTAGCGGAGCCTGCTGTTGGCTGTGTTTGGATACCGTTAGCTTGTCTGTGATGATCTAAGAACCACGGAGGGAGTCACCTGTAGCAGGGCCTGCGGACTTTCTGTAAAGAGCCAGATGGTCAATGTTTGGGCCTTTTTGGGGCCACATGGTCACTGTCACAACCGGTCAACCCAGCTGTGTAGCCGGAAGCATCAGACAACGTGTAAGCAGACAGGCGTGACTGTGGCCAAAAACTTGGTGGACACCAAAATGTGCATTGGTGTCATTTTCACAGGTCACAAAATACTCTCATTTACAACAATTCAAAAATGGAAAGCCGTTGCTTAGCAAACAGCTGAGCAAAAACAGGTGGTGGCCCCAGCCATCAGACCCCGGCCTGCAGGAGCGCAGGTGGTAAGGACTGCAGGCCGTGTGTGGGGCGGGGGCCCGTGTGCTGGCCTGTTTCAGCTTCACACACGGAGAGGTCGAGTCTCTGGGGCCAGCGCCTCCGGGCTCACGCCAGGCTGTGCCACTCGCCACATCACCATCAGCGTCTCGTGTTTGAGCTACAAACAGGACCAATGCTGTGAGCACAGTGATTTTTTTTTTTTTTTTTTAAAGAAGATGCTGGGGGGTAGGAGTTTATTTATTTATTTATTTTTGCTGTGTTGGGTCTTCGCTTCTGTGCAAGGGCTTTCTCTAGTTGTGGCAAGCAGGGGCCACTCTTCATCGCGGTGCGCGGGCCTCTCACTATCGCGCCCTCTCCTGTAGCGGAGCACAAGCTCCAGACGCGCAGGCTCAGTAGTTGTGGCTCATGGGCTTCCCAGGCCAGGGCTTGAACCCGTGTCCCCTGCATTAGCAGGCAGATTCTCAAACACTGCGCCACCAGGGAAGCCCCAGTGATTTTCTTTCACTAAGTAGACCAGATCTTATGCATTTCTCATTCATTCACCTGCTCATTCACCCACTGGTTCATTGCACGCCTGTGTGCCAGGCGTCGCTCAGGCCTGGGATGCCTGTGTGAGTCTGGGAAGGCAGCCCATCCGAGGGTCAGCACGGGAGAGGCCCCCGGCTCTGTCTTGGGGGGCAGGTAGCATGGAAGGTTGCTTGGAGGAGGTGACTGTCCAGCCAGAGGGACACTGGAGAGGCTGCCTTGGGCTCCGGTGGGGAGGTGAGAGGAGGTTAGGAGCTTGGCCGGGGAGAGGTGGGGATTGCCAGCCACGTGGGCAAGGCACTCACGGGGTGTCACCCTCAGGTGTTCTGAAGTTCTAGAAAGCCCTTCGGCTGGCCTCGGGGAGGGAGGACGGTGGCCCCCAGGAGCACGGGCTTAACGAATATTGTTGGTGATTGTGACCACGTACCACGCTGAGGTAAGTAGTCAGGAATGGGGACCCGGGGCCAGGTGTGTGGGAGCTCTCAGTACTGTCTTCACAACTTTTCCATAAGCCTGAAACTGTTCAAAAATTTAAATTTCATTTAATAAACTACCGTAGTTATTCGCATGCACACTCCTCCCGGCAAGCTGTCTCCCACCCTGAGCATCTGCTCCACCGGGCCCGGGCACCCCTCCCCTGCCCTGTGTCCCAGGTCACCTGACCACGTGGGCTCACCTGCCCAGGTCATGCCCTCCACCTGGACCTCACCGGCCTCCCGCAGCTTCCAGAAAGCCGAAGGGTCCAGAACCCGATCTCCCCACGGGGCTCCCGCGGCACCGCCCGCCCACTCCCTTCCCTCTGCTGATGGGACCCACCTGGGCTCCTGCGCAGGGCGACCCACACCCAGTTGTCCTTTCAGAGCCTCTGGGAGCTGGGAGCGGCCCGGATGAGTCCCAGGTGCGCAGGGGAAGGGGTGTAGTGGGGGGGCGGGCAGGGGAAGCTGGCGAAGGCGGTGCTGCCCGGGTGCGGGGGAGGGCGCCGCCCCCAGCCCCGGTTGATGCCCGGGTGGGGAGGAGGGCGGCTCCCCCACCCGGTGCCGCCCCCAGCCCCGCCCCATCCCTGAGCCTCTTGGAGTCCGGGTCGTTTGCGGAGGGAGCCGGGCCGCGGTGCAGCCTCGGGAGGAGCGCGGTGAGTCCGGGGTCCCCCGAAATGAGGCGGCAGCCCTCTCCCAGCGCCTCGGTTCGCCCGGCCCGTGCGGGAAACGCGTCGGACTGTGTAGACGCCCTCGGGGAGTGTGAGACCGTGTAGACACGGCCGGGCACCCTGCGTTTTTTGGCACCCCGAGGGCTCCCCAACCCCGACGGCCGCTTTCCCGCCTTCCCACCCATTAACTCGGCTAAACCCGCGGTGGGGCTGGGCCGGCAGGAAACGGCGCGCAGAGCCGGTGAGAAGGTTTCCAGGGATCTGGTGAGGGGCCCCTTGCTTTCCTCCCTGTGGCTTCTCTCAACCAATCTCTTGCTAGTGAGTAAAAACACGACAAGGATTTGGGGGGTAACAGTTCGGGGAGGGTGTGGTCACAAGGCCTGAAGCTGGGCTGGGGGTCCTATGGGGGAGGGGCCGTAGAGTCGGCTGCCGGCGGCAGGTGTGGCGTGTGAGTGATTGTGCCTGTGATGGATTGTGTGAGATTGGTTACAGGCGCGGGGTTGCGTATGGCTGTGTGGGGTGGTGTCATTGCCTCTGTGTGTGCTGTGTGTCTGTGTAACTAGTGTGTGACCACGTGTGCGTGATTGCACTGTGAGGTCATGTATGATTTTGTGTGTGGTTGTGTGTGTGTGTGTGGACACCCCTTCCCTGTTTCCTCGCCTGGGAAAAGGGGACGGAAGACCCTGAGAGCCCCCAGGACGTGGTGGATAGCCCTCCTGTCCCTCCAAACAGCACGTCAGGTGTTTCCCCTGATCTGCCCGCGGTGACGGACTGGAGAGGGGACCCTGCAGCTCTCCACCCCCAGGAGATCTGCGTGCTGTTCAGCGTGTGCGCTTGGCAGGATTCTGAATGTTTAGGGTGTAAAGTGTGGAGCCGGGGAGTCTTTGAACAGAGGCAAGCCAGGTGACCTTTGATTAAGTCTGGGCACAAGCTGCGCGCGGAGAAAGGTCTGCTGGGGTACCGTGGCTGTCGGTGACAGGGCAGAGGCCCTGGGAGGGACCCGAGGCCGCGTGCAGGTGAGTGTGTCCTTCCTGGAGGAGGACACGAAGGTCTGGGCGCCTCCTTCCAGTTTCTGCAGTCGAGGAAGGAGAAAGAAACCGGCGGGGCGAGCGTGGGGGTATGTGGCCGGCACGTGGGGAGCTGGGACCTGAACTGGGGCGTGGCCGCTCGCCATCTGTCTTGCTGCCCTGGGGCAGGGTTTCGAGCTCTTGGTCCCTGGGCTCACCTGCCTTACCTGGACCACAGGGGCCTGGGGGAGCCGTTCCTGAATTCTAAGAACTCTGTGTGGAAGAGGGGGGAGGGGGAGGGAGACAGAGAGATAAACAGTGAGACAAAGGGAGAGAAAGAGGGAGAGAGAGACAGAGACAGAGGAGATAGTCTCTCCAAGCCTCAGCGTCCTCATCTGTAAAGTGGGGATCATTGTGCCGGCCCCCTCCCCATGGGAGTGCTGGAAGGTCTGAACTAATTGACCTGAGGCTGTGAGCCCACACAGATTTTAGGCATGAACTTTCTGCTCGTAGCTGCTCGTGTTTCGGGCACCCATCCACATAAAAGTGAGAACGGGGAAACAGCTGTCCCCAGTTATTTGAACATGCTCGGCTCTAAAAGTAAGGCAGAGGGTCACGTGTTCTGGGTCTCTGGCTCGCGTCGGCATCAGGCTTTGCCATTTTCCCCGCTTTACTCTATTAATTAAAAACAGTGATTTCAGAATAATTGTCATTGCAAGGGTGGTGCAGAGGATCCCCGTACACCCTTCACCCAGCGTCTCCTAGTGTTCAAACCTTGTGCCACCGTAGATCAAAACTAAGAAATTGACATTAAAATGAACGTAAACACTCGCAGCCTACTTTGCCTGGATTTCCCCAGTTTTTCCACTAACGCCTCTTCTGTTCAGGGATCCAATCTGAGATGCCCCACTGCATGGAGACCCTGTATGAAATTTTTAAAATTAATTAATTAATTTAGTTTTGGCTGCGTTGGGTCTTCGTTGTTTTGTGTGGGCTCTCTCTAGCTGCAGAGACCGGGGGCTACTCTTCGTTGTGGTGTGCGGGCTTCTCATTGCAGTGGCTTCTCTTGTTGTGGAGCACGGGCTCTAGGTGCGCGGGCTTTGGTAGTTGTGGCACGCGGGCTCAGTAATTGTGGCACGCAGGCTCAGTAGTTGTGGTGCACGGGCTTAGCTGCTCCGCGGCATGTGGGATCTTCCTGGACCAGGGCTCGAACCCGTGTCCCCTGCATTGGCAGGCAGATTCTTAACCACCGCGCCACCAGGGAAGCCCCCCTGTATTAATTTTAACTTACAAGTTGTAAGTGATTGGAAGTTTCTTTTTTTAATCTACGTGTCTTTATCCGTTTTCCTGGGTATCGCTCGTGTTTATCAGCTTCTGGCCTCAACCGCACACCCCCCTCCCCCCAGGATCTCTGACTCCTTTTCCTCTGTGCACGTTAAAAAGCTACAAAAACACGAGATATCATCACCGCAAATAGTTCTCTCACAAACACCTCTTCCTATGAAAACCTAACAAAAAGTCCACAGACAAAAAGGAAAAAAAAAAAAAAGGCCAAGCTTATTAAATTTCCTAAAGGCTTGCTGAGTGATTGATTTCATGGAGTTGGGGCAATGGGGGAGGGGAGGTTTCCTGGCTGGATCTGAGCCTGAGAAGTAGGATAGGGAGAAACAGGAGAG